TTCCCGTTCTCCGCGCCGCCGTCCCTCTACGGCCACCCTTCCCCCGCATCGCGACGATCCTCCGCCGCTTACAATATTCGTTTTTTAACGTCTTTTTCCGTCTTCTACCCTTTTCTATAATCAGTGTATATCCTTCGTAATCCTTATTAAGAGAACGCGTGCAATATCCTAGTATATGCACCAGTGAAGATTTACGTGTTTTTTTTTTTTTGTACAACAATCGTGCGGTTTAAGAAGGGAAACGCGACTGTTTCCCCTGTGTGTATTTCCTCGTGACAGAAGGCTGACGCAGCAGCGGCGGTGGCGGTGGCGTGCTGTGTTCTCTTGCTTCTTATGCTTGTGTCTCTCGTGTTGTAAAAATCTGCCCCTACGCTCGCTCTCACCTCTCGGAGACCCCCCTCCGAGGAAAGGATTCGATTCCACGGCGAAGAAACATGGGGAGAGGGACGTTGCTGTGAGTAAATACTCGGGCGTCATTTAAGTTGGACGTACAAGATATCTTCGTCTCGGTGTGTCATGTACCCGCGAAACGTCTCTCCCGTTGTTATCGCCGATGTCGCCGACAACTTATTTTCCGAGTTTTCTCCCCCCGAGTTTTTCCCACGGACGATAGCATAATTTTTGTTTAAGGCGGTTGCAATGTATCTCATAGGCACATATCATTGTCTAATGTCGACGAGTTGTTCAATGTTTATTAGTATGTTAACGATAACGCGTCGTGATTGTAAATTTTGGGAAAATGTTGAAAGATGTTGGTTGACCGACGAACTTCTTCCGCGAAACCATCCTGTAACTCGTAGTATGTAAAGTGTCGATAAGTATCATTTTATATCGGTTCTAATTCGTTTACAATTTTTCAGGTATTTGATTGACGGTTTGCAATGAATTTCCCGCCGTTCGGAAGCCATTTTCCCGGTACTATTCCTAGTATTCATCAGTTCGCAACCGACGGCTCCGGCGGTGCGGGCGGACGTTACGCCAATCATTTTCCCAACCAGCCTCCGATTGGAGTGCCGGTTATGGGAAAGTACCGTCCTGAAAGCAACGGCGTGCAATCTGCTCAGTCACAAGTGATGATGAACAATAAAGCAAGTTATCCTAACAGCAATGTTCATCATTACCCAAACGTACCATATTCCCAAGCTCAACCAGTTCAACAGCGGCCCTCTAATTCGCCTGGAATGCCAGAAAAGCGTTCTTATCATCAGGTCAGCTACTTTGTCTTTCTGTATTAAAATTTAAAGCATAGGATAATATAGAAGTACTTAATAGAGAATGGAAACTTTTCAGCAAGCGACCGAAACTATAAATCAACAAGATGTTTGCAATCTCCTACAGGATAAAGATAAAAATAAAGAAAAGAAGGGAGACGAGCAACAGCGCAATGGAGAAACTACGACAAATGGTAGCCAACAAGATTATACGATGCATCAGCATCATCAGCAGCACGCTCATACTCAAACTCCTGCAACTATGCCTGCTACGTGGCAGTCTTTGGCTACTCCTGGATCCACAGTGGCAGATTACCTCAGTCATTTACCAGCTAGTACTTTACCGTTAAGTTTACATCATTTCTTAAAATATTCTGCAGAAAGTATTAAGAAAGAATCAGAAATGGCACAAACCACTTCTGTAGCTGTAGCAACTACAACAACGCCTAACATAATGATGTCCCCGAATAATAAAAAGAAGAAAAAGAAGAAGGCTCCCAAGGAGAAAAAGCCACGTCCAAAACCTGGAGAAATTCGCTTAACGACGGCTCTAGATGGCTCTACATTGTATTGCTGTCCAGAATGTCATATGGCATACCCAGAACGTGAATTGTTGGAACAACATCTTCTGGGACATACTTTAGAACGAAGATTCGTGTGCGATATTTGTGGGGCAGGCCTCAAAAGAAAGGATCATCTTACACGTCACAAACAGAGTCACAACCCCGAACGTCCATACGTTTGTACCGTTTGTTTAAAAGCTTTCAAAAGGAAAGAGCAATTGACATTACACTTTGTTATACATTCTGGCGAGAAACGACACGTATGCACAGAGTGTGGAAAAGGATTTTATCGTAAAGATCATTTAAGAAAGCATACCAGAAGCCACATTGCAAGAAGGGTAAAAGCTGAGCTCAGTCAAAATGCTGGTAAGGAGATAGAAGTATTTTTTGTCTGTGTAATGATAAACATAAATAAAGCATTGTTATGGTAACGAGATTCTTTTATCTCTAGGTACACAGCAAAATCAACAACAAAATAATGTTTCAAACATGCAGACAACAGCTGTTACAGCATCGTCTGTTCTTTCTGGTGGACATCCGGGACCTCTCCTGTCCTGAGCCCCGCCACCAGGGAACTTCCAAGTTCCCCATCCCAATAATATTCTTCACTCGCATACTTCTCATCATTCGTTGCATCATCATCATTTGACGGCCGTTAACGTGGCGCACCAATCGAGTGTCACGCCACTTGCTACATCCAGCCACTATCAAACGCACGACCTCAGTTTTTTGGGACACGTTAAAGATTTCTGAGAGCAGGGGAAGACCTCGATCAAGAGGTAACAAAACTGACAAATTATACGAGTACTCTTAGCCAGTGAGAGTTAATTCGACCGCTTTTCTTCGTTTCGACTTTAGTAAGTTTTCTACGATAACAAACAATTATCCGTGATTCTGCTGACTCTCTATGTCCTAGTACAATAACGCAAAAGCTGTGACAGTTGCATAAGTTTTTCAACGGTATGCACAGTTTTTATCGCCTGTGTGTCGGGTATTGTTTTTGAGATATGTACGCATAGATCTTATCTTGAAAAAGTGTGCCATATGTGTATGTACATGATCAAAAAAAAAAAAAAAAGAAAAAAACGAAGAAAGAGACATAGAGAGTGTTTCCATGCACACGGAAAAGAGACACCATAATTTTCTCTAGGAGCGTTAGATTAGAGCCTGATATAAAAGTCTTGCCATACTACTGTATGTATGAGAAACAAAACATATTTTTATGAAGGCTTGATGTAAAACACAAAGAAGCTACTTATTATCAAGCTAAGCTTATTATCAAGAGAGAGAAATATTATAAATTTTTTCCAAATGAGTTGAACCGAACGATTCAATTTAGTTTACAAATTTATTTTCAATTAGTCAACCGAAAATCGTTGAACACAAACAAAAGTTTGGAATTTGTGCGAATGAAGACATGTATATAAGGATGCAAACGAGTCATCCCACCGATTAATATGTAACGTCTTTCAATTTCTTAATAACCTGAAAAGTATGTTTCTTTTAATCATCGACTCAGTGATATTTTGATCGTGTCTTGATCTAAAGAATTAAATATGTTTACAATCTTTTCGACGAAGTTAGAAAATATTTTATTTTTAGAGTTGAGTTATTTAATGTTTTAACGAAACATTACAAAGCAGTAGCTAAAAGAACACGTGGCAATACTTTAGTGGATAAAGGAACGAAAGAACATTATTTCGCTTTTGTTTTTATAAATTTATTTCGTATATATACAAAGTTGACAGTATTTTATATTTTACAATATATAGTTCCAAATTTTTGCTTGTATGTATACATTTATACATAATTGCGTATATATACATATGTATGTATTTATGTACACGTATATATTTTGCGATATCGCCGAGAATCGTACTATATCTCACTTTTTTTATATACGTAAGTTCTTTAGGAGTTTACATCGTTTTTATATCGTTTTTACATTGTTTTTTATACATATTTTTTTCGTTAAATCCCTTTAACTTTCGTTGAATACTGATCGTGTTAGTGAACGTTTTTCGTTAGACTTCATGTACTTTTGATTTTCTTTGTTTATTATTATTATTATAATTTTTATACGTATATATTATAGTAAATATTCAAGTAATCGTCGTTAAAAAGAATGCTAGTTTTATAATCTTTTTTTATGTCTTATTTATCCGCATCGTGGAAGTGAAATACCCTCGCGGACTGTGATCGTTTCGGACAAAACTGACATTTGTTCCAATTGTCTCACTTTGTCTGATATGTTTTTTTCAACCATTTCTTCCTCGTTTTAGTATTATTCAGTGTGCCATTTTCTTCGAACTCTCTACGCCGATACTTTCTTGCCACAGGCATTAATTCAGTCTACCAGATCGTCGACGCTATCCTTTCGTCCTGTTATTTTTTTTTTTTTTTTTAATTCTTAAAAGTAAACGTCCTATATCCTTGAACATTACACGCAACAGCTGCTTAATACGTTTACGTTCTGATGTAAACCGTATGAGGAAAACAAAATGCAAGAATATAACGTATGAAAAAAGTAGTTAGGAATGTGATGCGCTATTATAAAAAGGAAAGAGAGAAAGGAAAGGGAAAATATTGAAAGCATCGTATTCGTTGGGAGGACGACGCGTTTCGGCGATCCATTACTGCTTACGAGAATGAACTATAAAGTATTTTGTAAAGAACTTAGGGTATGCAAATAGAATAGACGTACAAATTCATCGTTGATATACATATATTTTAATTATTTCCTACGTTTGACCGTAAATATACACACAGTTATTTTCTAACGTTCACTTAAGTTTTGTTCCAGTAATCATAAATTTTTGGTCTTCTTCCAATCGATCCTCACCGACTGTTTTGCATCATATTTCTAGCAAAAGTCGTATATACGTTCTATAGCAGGTAATATGAAAAATTCAGGATTCGTCAGACCTCAAATATAAGGATGTACTAAAAATATTATATACAAATATATATGTATATATATATATATATATATACTAAAAGTTATATATATATATACATTTAAAAAAAGTATAAAAGAACGAGCTGTATTAAAATACTCCACCGCCATGTACTTGTAATCATGAAAAAAAGAGAAGAGAAGAAAGAGAACAGAGAGTACACTTTAGGTTATATGTTTTAGCGAGTAAGTTTGTATACAAGATGAAGAAAAAAAAATAAGATTACTACGATATGTAAGTGAAAGACGAGAGGGGAGAAGCATAAAAAATGCGTATGTCTGCATGTGTTGTATGCGTGTACATGCACGCGCGCGCCGAATCGGAGAGAAAAATATGTCGGGACGTGTGTGCTTGTTTGCGTGCGTTTTATGCGTGCATATAATAATCCGAAAAGTATAAGGGAAAGAGAGAAAGAGCCTGTGAAAGAATTAAACAAAAGGAAAGAGAGGAAAGAAGAAAGAACGTTGACATGTGGGTAGTTATATATATAAAAGTATATAATATAATATAAAAATATATATAATGTGTGTGTGTGAGAGAGAGAGAGAGAGAGAGAGAGAGAGAGAGATCAAATTTTTCCGGAACAGGAAGTCGGTGGACTAAATGAAGAGGAAAAGTGAGATGAAAATAATGACAAATAGCTTTACGATTTATAAAAAGAAAAAATAAAACAGCGAGCGCGCGCGAAAAAGAGCGAGCGAGCTAGCGAGAGAGAGAGAGAGAGAGAGAGAGAGAGAGAGAGAGAGGGAGAGAAACATTTTTCAGAAGTTCGACGTATGATTTTTTTTGAGAGATTAAACAAATGAGAGGCTCAAGAAGCGGTCTATTTTCAAGGGTAGCCAAAAAGAAAAATGAATAAAAAAATGGAGAAAGAACCTGATATTTCCGCGCTCGACGAGGCGGACAGTTTGTCTTTGATATTTCAGAAAACCGACCACTTCGTCGAGGTATAATAGGCATAGTTGGTGTTCCTAGAGAAAAAAAAAAGATGAGAAGGAGAGAAAGGAAAGGGAGGAATAAGAATAGTTAACGCGTCTGTAAAAACGGAAGAGAAGAAAGAAAAATAACAATTCTCCGGTGCCTTTGCATAGCGCTGGACTTTAACCGCACCTGCATACTTTTTCCACCTTATGAGTAAAAGTCCATGGATATGGCCTCGTGCATAGCTCTTTTTCGGGACACCCTGTGTATGCTCCTTTCCTCTTTCGTCCCCCGTTCGCAACTTTTTTGTCGTTTTCGTCGCCATCCGACACTCTTTTTGCGCCGCGAGCAAGCTAACAAAAAGCGGTTCAACGGGCGATCGAGAGAGGAAGAAGATGAAATATTTTTTAATAATGTGAAAATGATTATTGAAAGAGAAGAAAAAGTAAGATGTGTGTTTTTTAGAAAAAAAGAAAAAAAAAGAGGATCCAGAGACGAGAGTTATTGACGAAAGGGGAGCGAACAGAACGAAGAAACACGTTTTTTCTGTACTTTTCAATTATGATTTCTTCAATTTTCCTTTTTAGCAATCTTTCTTGCGTTCCGTTAAATGGCAAAAGCCGAGTATAAAAGGACGTGGAAAATTTGTTACTCGGATGGGATGGGAAATATTTATTTGCATTTCTCAAGATTAGAATTTCGCTGGTAGAGCTATGTATACGTTTTGTACTTATTCCTTCCTGTGTATCAAGCGTATAGACATTTTACTTTATACCATGAATCGAACGAAGCGAAACTACAGCTTCGTTACAGAAGATACCGAGGGACTCTGTTTCGCGAACTCAGTGGTTGGAAATGATTTAATTTGTCTTCTGCCCCTAGATACATACGTTTTCCGTTCTTGTAATCGATAGTAGTGTCTAATGATTAAACGAGCATAAGTATCGCGTTTTATAGAGCATAAGTAGTAATAAGGTATAGGCCTTTATTGCCTAAGTTGCACGAGCTAAGAGAGTGAAAGGGAGAGACTGCGAGTGAAACCGAGAGCGAGAGAATGGGAAAAATGACAAAATGATAATAACAGATTGAATTTGCGTACATCTGATTTTACAGTTTTACTAGAAACTGTAAGGAAGAAGACATAAGAAAGAAAAGTCTTAAATCTTGAGAAAACAAATTCACGGAAACTCGTAGAATTCCTTTTTTCGTATGGTAAAAGCGTTTCGTACTGGTGTTTACTTAATCCTCTATGGACTATTCGTAGTAATGCGCGTGAGTATGTAATGGCTTTTAACTTAAAGCATTAAACATTTTCTCTTGAAACAAGAAACAAATTTATAAAAAGATCTCCAAAATTTTTGAAAATGGGAACTTTTCCTCGAAGCATCGAATGCTTTGTTTAGATTATAGAGGATTAATATCACGAAATACCGTTATTGTTATTACTATTACATTTTTGCGTTATTCGTATACTATCATTTACAGCGATACGATTAGACATTTGAATGCTATTTCTGTAGTAAGTTCGAAAGTAATCGTTGCTCGAAACGGGACATCGTGTTCGGTAACGACGAGTCTTCGCGTCTATCGATCTCAACCTCGTCGAAACGAGTAAGGAGAAAAATTGAATAACCAGAAAGAACGACGACGATGGAAAACACAGTTTCGAGCATTGATTTCTCGTTAATTTACCGCGTAGTTATTGTAAAACCGATTGTTTTCGACGAGCGATCAGACGTAAAGGTAATTGATCGAACAGGGAAGAAGAAAAAAAACTAAAAGTTTAAAAGGTAACAGTTTGTTGTAAATCAAACGCAATTCACTGAGAGATATGAGGGTGACAATGAAAACCATATTTTTCTACGCAGTGTCGAAAAAAAAAACTCTTAATCGTACTAATGCAGAATAGAGCCGAAAATGAATTCGATTTAAAAAAAATGGCTTCGTCGCGTGAAGCGTAATAATTTGCTTCGCGCGCGAGCTACGGATTTTAGTTGGTTCATGCAAAAATGAAAGAAAAGAAGAACGCAAAAGGGAGGGGAGAAAGTACAATAACGAAACTTGAGATTCGCGCTAATATATTTAGAGGCACCGAAGCGTTCTCCCGCGCACTTTTTTCCTTGTAAATAGAACGAAACCGAAGAAGAAAGAAAGAAGGGATAGACTTAAGACGAACACCAAGTAAAAATGCATCGTTTTCGAATGGAGCAAGATAATGATTTCTCGATCGAGAGGCGAATAATTTTTTATAAAGTTCATCGGATAGCTGTTGGTTTTTTAAGTAACCTTAGACGTAAGACGCAGTTAGTACGCGTGTACTTACACGATCCTTTACAGTCTAACTTTATCAGTTTTTCCACACACAAACAAACGAACGAAGAATAGAAATTTTTAGCAAAGGAAAGAAAAATTAATTTCTGGAACTTAAATTACCGTTACATTTCGATATCTTGTTTTATCTATTTTGGGAATTAGTTAAAAAACCAAAAAGTCCGGTTAACCGATTCTTCTATCGTAATAAGTCCTTTGGAAAAAGTTATAGATTAAAATTAAATTAGCAGAGGAGCTAGACCGTAAAGGATTCGAATGAAAGAGGAGAAGTTTTGCATGAACCAACGGGCGCTGTTCTTACGTGTATATTTTATCGGAGTATCCAGCTGCCGCGGTTCAGTTTCTCGGCTTGTCCAGTCGGCGTGGTATGTGTGCTTGCGTTTTTTGCGTGCGTCCTCTGTGCGCGTGTGCGTAAATGTGATTACCGGTTTTTCAAACAGAGACGTCAGCACAACAGGCGAGTAACGACGGAAGAGAAATATGGAAAGATATACAAATTCCTCGACATAGTACAAAGCATTTAAACTCCTCTTTTTCCAATAGCCTAGGGAATATGATAAGTACGCATTGCACATAAGTCATTACGCGTAAAATAGACATCTACCGAGTAGCCGGAGAGTCCGCGACGCAACGAGGCAATTTATTTTCTTTTTTCTGTTCTTCTCTCTTCCATTAGTTTTGTCTCGATAATATAGTAGAAAAGTTATGACAGTGATTTTATTTGAACCCTTTGCACTCATGAATCGCTTCTTCCACGCGACGAAAGAAACTCACATTCGATTCATAACTTTGGAGAACATTTTTGGAAATTAAAAAGAATATGTAGTAAAAACATAAAAATATGAAAACTTTGATAGTTTCGTGATTTATTTCGTTTTCTTGTTGTTCATTTTGCTTTTTAATACGGTAGCATTTTACTCGAAAACGTAAGTGCAGAGGGTGCCAACAAATCGTACATGCAATTTGTCTAAATAGATCTGTAAAAGATTTTTTAAGGAACTCTTCTTATTGGACACACAAACGCAATACTAAAGATCCGTAAGAAAGATATTCTTACAAACTTTTTACGAGACTGCAAAGGCTGACGTTTTATAGATTACTCGAAATAGCGCGAAGGTACTTACATTGCGACCGATCAAATGTTAGCAAGGTATATACTTTTGTAATAGACTAGCCAAATTGTGAATGGTGAATATTTTATATAAACCGTATAGAACTCTCTGAGAATTAATTTCGACGCACCGCTGAATGCACACAATAGGATATATCGTTTAGAAAACTTGAAGTTTCGGTAGCTATATCTCGAGTTGAATCGTATTTGTCTTGTCTCGAAAAACTGTATTTCTTGAACTTCTCGATTTGTTCAACACCGTTTAGTGTATCACGATAAACCGTATGCCTAAAGAGCGCATAGATACTGCCATAATTGCGATTATTAGTAGCTTCGGATTAAAAAGAAAAAAAAAAAGAAATACGAAAAAGAAGTATTAAACATCGATAAACGATGTACTTCCTTCGAAAGAGAAATTTACTCGTTACTCATTTTTCGAATCTAAGATTGCGTTTCCGGTTGTGGATTTTCCGGACATCCGATAGATAATAAAGGAGAAAGAAAGGGAAATAGTGAAATTTTCATGCTCGGAATATAGGAAATACGAGCCTTTTGTTTGAATCCACCATGTTTTCATTTTCTTCATTTCCGTTTGTTCCTCACCGAAACATTTGTACCACAGTCTTCCAGGGTACAAAGGAAAGAGTAAAATAATACCGTTCGTTCGTCATGGTGCGTAAATCAAAAAGGGAAAGAACAGACAAGTAGTAAAAAGGGATGAAGGAGAAAGAGAGAGAGAGAGAGAGAGAGCAGAAAGCGGGAAAAGAGAGAAGAAGAAAGGGAAGAAAGATAAGGTGAAACAAAAAAAAAAAAGAAAGAAAGGACTAATAAGAGAAATTGTGTATAACTATGCGAACCCTCTGATGATCTCAGCGTTTTATTTTTGTATAGAGTGCATAAAAAACATGTAATCTTCAGGAATGTAAGGACGAGGAAAGAGGTACGCAGTTTGAGACAAACAAAAAAGCAAGACTTATGTAGTAGATGAGAAGACGAAACGTATAAAAGGGAGATGTAGGTATAAAAAAAAAAAAAAAAAATACAGACAGACGAATTTAGGTTGCGAGGATAGAAGTTTAAAGTTTGTGAACGTTTTTTCGGACATTTCCCAGTGCTGCTTTATGTAATACCCTATATATATAATATATATATCTATATATATATATATAAAAATTGTATGAAAAGTCATCTAAGAAAATATGCTAATTTTTATTATTCATAATTCCTTCGTTCTCCATATCCTGATGCTAAAACAAACAAACAAACACACACACACACACACAAATGGGTTATAAAATATGATTTAATTTAAAACGACTTATAATTTTATGTAATAATGATTTATTAGTTTAATTGTAACTACTACAACCGATAACAAAACGTTGATCTTTTTTTAACCATATTTTACGTAATATGTCCGATTATGTACACTTTGGAAGCGTTATATAGTAAAGCCGATATATGGTCGGTTCTTCTTAATAAATATAAATACATAATTTACAGGGGTAATTTGACGTAACATTTCACGTGTAAATACGCGTATAACATATAACATATTAATATAATACAATACATATTACTACATATTATACGCGTATCTATATATTTCTATATAGCACACGTACAAACATACTGACACGCTCGCACAATGTAAACTGCAGTATTAAATTATTTAACATGACATATCCTTACATTCATCGCTGTTTCAACTTTAAACATTAAGGAACATTGCTCTTACTCTAACTTGGATCAAAGTTTCTTTAATCCTACATATTTACAATGTACAACATGAAAGAAGGTAAAGGCATATAAATAAAAAGTAACGGAGAAATTAATATCGATAAAAACCGTACTTTGTGCAATGTTCCTTTCCAGTTAGGGCTACAAAATGTATTCCATTGATTACAGACTATTCTTAACGTTGATTTTATATTCCTTTCTCATAATTACGTGCAAAGATAGGTGTTATTATGCTGTTTCTTTTAGGCACATGATCCAAGATGATTGATACCGTTATCTTAGCAGAAAACAAAATCATGTATTTTCGTTCCACTTTTACACATCATATATAACAAACACGCATCTTCTTTCAGTATCTTGAGCATAACAAGAATAGTTTGTGCACGGTATTATAGAGTATTTGCATCTCTTTTTGCTTAAAGATGAAAGTATTTAAAAGCTGATCTTACAAAGGCTGCTTTAATTTAGAATACACAGTAAGATACATCTAATTAATATACTAACATTTTTTTATTAAATTTGAAACTAAAAATTTTATTGCTAAGCTAGCATTATTCTTGTTCTTTCCATACATTTCGAACATCATATCAAATGTAAGATATAAAGAAAAAAATTCAACGATACTAGGGCTTATACCCAGTTGTAATTTATATAAAAGCTTGAATAATTTATATAAATATCTTTTTTAAATAAAATTATTTAAAGTATCTAAATATATATATTACATCTCAAAAAACTGCCCTTAACAGGTACGTTCTTACTTTAAGAATATTGTGCATATTAGAGGCATATTAAAAAGAGAAATATAAAATTTGCAGAATTAATTTAGAGCCTGTTTGTTTTTCAGCTACGTTATAAGTAGCATTTCCAGACTAATACATATATATATATATATATATGTCGGAGATGAAAGAACACCGGAGCCTTTGGATAACCCCGCAACATTGTAACCTAGAGTCTACTATAGCTGTAATTGAACAATTGTAGTTATTCAATCCGATTGTAATTGCAAAATTCGGAACCATCAACAACTATTCCGTTACGTCATGAAAGTGTCTCTGATAAAGCTCGCTGTATCAATCTCTCAAATTTAAATTGCCTAAATTACAAAACAACTTTGTTTTAAGATTAAGATAAAAATGTATTAAGTTCTCAAAATAGAAAATGGAGGTGGCCCAGTCTGCCTCATCATCATTGCAAAACTACTTAATCCTTCTTCGCCGTTATTATGGCTATTCTGATTATTCTGCGAACTGTTTAGATTTTTGCTTCTGCTACTATTATGACTTTGCAAATGTTTTTTTAAGTGATCCTTTCTATAAAAAGCTTTGCCACATTCTGTACAAACTTGATTTTTGCTACCTGAGTGTATAATCATGTGACGTGCAAGATGTTCATTGCGTTTAAATGCTTTGCAGCACATATTACACTGATAAGGCCTATCTTTGTTGTGTCCTTGTTTGTGACGATCTAGATGTTCCTTGCGTTTTAAAGTTGCGCCACAAATATCACAAATGTGAGGTCGTTGCCTGTGATCTCCCAGATGTTCGTGCAACGCCTCTCTGTCTTCAAATCTGAATGCACATTCTGGACAACGATATATTAACATACCTGAAACAATAAAATTTATCATTTACAAAAAAGAACATTCTCAATTTCTGTTATATCTTTCTTCATGCGTTTACCATTGATATGTTGTGGCTCAACTTCAAATTCAATTTTTGGTCGAATTTCTTGGCAATTATGCGTTGAATTGTTGCTATTTTCTTCGTACTTAGTTACATATGGTAAACCTAATGTACTAGAACATCGTGCTAAGTACTCTGAAGTAAGTCTAAAGTCTATTTGTAAGGGATCTGTCATAGTTGCTGCATCTACTTTTTGAATAGTCTGTGTACCCGAAGATTGATGAGATATCTGAGGGCATGTCTCCTTATTTCCACAATTATTCTCATTTCTATTTTCATCCGTTTGTTGAACATGAGTTACCGGATGCCCAGAGTATGTATATCCAGTGATATTAGGCTGATTATGTTGATGGTTGTGCATATCAGATGGATATTTTATATTACGTGGATCATAAGCCATCTTTCAACGTATCATAAAAGTAAATATCCTTATCGTTTGTCTATAAATATAAAAATACTGTAATAAAAAGTTAACAAGACTTAAAAGATTACACGTAATTACAAATACAAAAATTATCAATCGAGACTAACAACCAAAGATCATTTTTAGAAAAGTTGCATTAATAATTTAAGAGATTGAATTTCAATTTTTATCTTAAAAAAGCGAAACTAAAAAATACTTTACTTTTTACATTTTATCAACAATAAAAAAAAAACTTGATAAAACTGTGAACGATACATCAGTTCGAATACAAGGATCAGTTAGCAAAAATTTACATATGAAGACAACGCTGTCGTAAATTTGACGTAAATGAGAAGTTTTATTGAGCAGGTCAGGAAAGATGTCATTTGCTATTCAATATTTTTGAAAATTCGAAATATTCTTAGAAAATATCGCAGTTACTGCAGAATAAAACTATTTATCTATATTATTCGCGTGAATCAAATTTACTCACCCCTTAGTGCACAGTCAGTTGTGAAATCAGCACATAACTGATCACTATTTGTTTGTATTGAGCTTGGCCATCTTTACACATCAGCTGCTGTAGAAATTCCGAGTCCTTCTTCTAACAGGCTATTTATTTTACAAAACTGTACACTCTGATTACGTATTAATGATTCATTTATTAACAAGATATTATTAAACAAACTAAGTACTCGATTAATCTCTCTCAATCATGATCACTTTTGTATAGTGCAGTTTCGTTTCGAAATACGTAACGATGCGATGATCACACAATAGAAAAGGTATAACGCATTTAAAAGAGGCGGCTATTTAAGGCATTCGTCGAAAAAAATAACGATTTGTATCAATATATATCCCGATGAAATCAATAAATATTAGACAAATATGTTATAATTTTAGTAATATTTTTAACGATTCTAATCAATGTCTTCCAATGATTTCAAATTTATTATATATTCCTATCATAAAAATATTGCATTTATTTAGTTAGCATTGTTTCTGTATTTTAAAATATATATCGTACCCTTGTACTCTATAATCATTTTCTAATAACGTTAAGAATATAATATTCATTCATCTTTATGTATTTATGTGTGTGTATTATTAATTAATATTTTATGTATCGATATGTCATACATATTTCATATATATGACGAAATTTTATTTTAACTTTTTCTTTTATTTGCTAGAAAAGCTCGTAATATTCAATGGGTACTGGTTATAATGCATATCTACGATAATAACGCTATTTTTATTTAAATTTAAAACCGGTATGACTAGATAAGAATGCATTTTCGCAATGATGACATCTTGCGGTAAATAAATCCACGTTTCAGGACCGTAACTTCTTCTTTGTGTGACAATTGAATATATTTATATTATTATCTTAGTGAAAATAGCTTCGATATTTCGATCAAATTTAAATAAATCTATTAATCCGATTTATTAAATTCTGTTTTTTTTTATACTGGATTTTATACCGAAAGGAAAATATAAACAGTTTACGAAATGTAAATTCAAGAAATTAACAACGAGATTAAATATTTTTTCTTAATGAGGGTGTAGTTTTAACAAATCGTAAAAAGTAACTTAATCGAAATAAATTCCAATGTTACTATCGATATAATTGTACGGTTCCTTAAAAGCAGAATGTTGAAAGTAGTAAAAATTAACAAGAAAATAAGTTTAAAATTCATTTCCTCTTCGAAGAATATCGAAAATAAAAAATGGAGAGAAGTAAGTATACGTAGGTTAATGTACACATAGTGAACCAGATGTTTGTATATTTAAACTTATTATGTACAAGGGGTTATATTATATTAAACAACGATTTGCTATATAGGTATTTGCCTATAAGAACTCGTAACATCGGTACAATATATTTGTTAATCACATGACCACGGAGTGGTCACATAACAAAACTTGATTATAAACTTTGTATTTTTTTATCAAGAAAAATGAGACGAAGGATATAAGCGTGTATATCGAATTCGTAAAAGTTAATTGGCTTGAGTATTCTTTTGTCCAGTTGCAAATACATGTTTATAATCGATTAAAAAGATATCATCGAAGTTCTCCGATATTTGCAAAAATATAGAAACGATGTGTTACAAATTAATAAGAATCGATAATGTGAAAGAAGTTTGAAAAATACGACTGAATACGAATGAACAGCCGTTTCCTTGCGTTTCAGGAAACTTCTTTGATATAATTATCGAAATATGTATACTCCCACTCAAAAGTCTTAGGGCATTCACCGTTTTTAATAAAACCTTGGTATCCGATGTAAATTATACATTTTAAATCGCATGCATGTTTCAATAACATTTACTTTCTTTATCATATAACTAACAATTTTTGATATCTTTATTGTATACATAGTGTTATCCAATTTTTAACCTAATATAATAATAATTGTCTTAAGATTTTTGAGCGAGGAAGTAGCTTCTACGATACTCGTGAAATATTCATGTTTGTAATGATTCGATGAAAGATCATCAATTACGTCCACTTGAGAATCACGACGAGCGTTGTACGATGTCTATTTAACGCGAGTTCCAACGAGCGATAATAATAAATTACTATTCGCATGCACTTTTGGCAGACGCTTGGCGAACAACAGATTATCTTTGTTACCAGCTAAATAGCGAGCATTCAGGAATATTTAGAGCGTACAACAGCGTGTCTCGAACGATCAGACTTCTAATTGATTTTTCAACTTGTAGCACAAAAACCGATAAATCATATCTTTCTTGATACATTTTACGAAATAGAAATAGATATCTTACGAGATACTTAGACGTTGAGCAAAGATACTTAACACGTACGACACCGTAAGAAATGTAACATTTCGAATGACATCGTCGAATCGTATTAACATATTAAATTACAATATCTAATTATATAGATATTGCGAATATATAATAAAATGTTTTTTTTTTTTATTTTAGTTTAATATCAAACAGAAGAACATTTCTATTAAACAAACGTTTTCGATCGATGTTTATATTATTAACATCATCTCATACGGCATGGGACATGTCAGTGAAATTATTTAAAATCAGGTAGGACATAAGCAACGAAGAAGGAACATAATACCTCTCGTACAGGTTGCAATTCGCCAACGAATAATTTCAACAAGAAGAGTTTATGATTTCGTTACGTTGGTTGTATCAAAGAATACTACTGTTCTATCATTTTTCTTTCGAAGAGTATTGTTTCATACAACAGAATCTCGCTCTTACTCAAATTTTAGAGACACTGGAATGCACGTGGGTAGCAATAAAGTATATTAGTAATACAGTCTCAACATCTTCTACTTTCGCGATACATGAAAAATTGAGAAAATTGTCGGCGTGCGTTTCACCTACATGTACACATGTGCAACAGCATTCTTTCGATGTTAAACAAATGGCAAAGAAATTTCGATAACTCTTACGCAATTACGTATACACGTGGATCTCGTTTGTCCATGATAGACACTTTCGAGGTCCCACTAACTGTTTTTCGGTCTCGTGGAGAGATTTGAAGTTGACGAATATTTCTTTCTAATTTCTAGAATACTTTTCAATCACGTCCTTGACAGTGAAGATTTCTCCGGCGAGCTCTCAAACGCTGCCTCGAAAGTAACTCTTACTTCTTTCTTTATTTTCATTTTTTCTTTTTTTTGTTACTTCTTCTGATCGATCGATAGAGCAACATTTTTTCAAGCTTTTTGCATCTTGCCGCATTTTGTTATTTTATGATTCGAAAATAATGTCGACAAGATTAATTGCCATGTGGTAAGATACCTAACAGAGGCAACACCTAAAACGAGAACCTTGTTCTCGGAAATATAAAAGTCGCGCGTGAAGAAACCTCTAATCGAAATTCCTGTCTTTCGAAGGACGATCTTCTACGATGTTCAGTCTCTCGGAGAAATTTGTTTACCGAAAATACATACATTTATGTATATTTGTATATAGTCAATGTAACATCGTGAGTATCTTTTTGCTGATTACACACAGAGAACAAAAGTGATATACGCGACATCTTTCTCTTATTTATTACTACGCGAGGGAGTCGCGGACATAAAATTAACAAAGCATCGCTACAACTCCCTTTTCTTTCTTTTACGTCGCTTTTATGTTTCTCGAATCGCTAAATGTATGTATATATATATATATATATGTAAAAAAAACCAGCATTCTTTGTGCACAGTACACCGTATATAGTCGACTTTCGTTACCGCGCACCAGTTGAAGGATTAATAACTTGAATTAGTTAATTATACATAGTTCAAGTACATTTACATACACATCTTTATCACATACTATTCGAAAACTCATGTTATTTGCACGCGAACTATAACAATTTCGATATGGATTGTACATATATTAATGTTCTTTAGTGAGGTATGCCTGTGTGACGCCCTGAACGATGTTATCCTCATTCTCGACGCGATGATACTGAAATTTCTTTGAAATTTTTTTTCGTGTTATTTTTATAAGATATATATTTCGATAATAGTATAGAAATATATTTTTTCACCGACAAAGGTGTAGAAAAGATTAAATTTCATTTTATAGAAGATACGAAGATGACAAAAGAAAGGAAAACGTATTCAGAGAGAACATTCATCGCTGAAATAATGTTCAAATACCGAAATAATAAAATATAGAAAATGAATGAGAGAATAACGCTTTTAACGATACGTAATATAATAATTTATGTTATTTCGATCGTTTCGACTATGTTAGAGATAAAGGATATCGTCGAGAATATCGAAACAGCGTACAGGAGCACGATGATATCGATAAATAAACTCATATTCGACATTTATATTTTGCAACTTTCCATGGGTGGTATCCTGTTGCATCGAATAAATTAGCAATAAACAAATGTAGCACGAACGAAAGAGATTTTAAAAATTTCGCACATCTGTTCACTTAGCACACCTGCACATTGGTAACAACGATATCAACGTCTTTTCTTATCAATAACGATATTAATAATTTCATCTTACTTGTATCATTGTAACGTAACTTTATTGTTAAAACTTAATGGACAAGTACGTTGATCGTTCCAATTTCACTAACGATTCTCTGTATAATTTAAGTATCATTACAAAGTATAATTTAATTGAAACGAGGCATAGAATAATCTTTTAGATATCTTTTTTAAATTTGCCAATGAAAAAAAAATTACAGACGTTTTTCGCATTTAAATACAAATTTCTATAGATATTGAATCACTGAAATCAAATGTATTGTTACAATGTTCGTTCTAACTTAGTAGCACTTGTATATGCTCATCGTCCTTTAAGTATTAACAAAAACAAAATGGAATAAAGCGTTTTCTATTTATACATAGTCTAAACATGTCGCAGTCAGGTTTCCTAAACGCATTTTAAATACGCTATTCAGTAGTGCTTGCGTGATTTATCTCATGTATACATATGTATGCTCTTCATTGAAGTGTATTATTTTTTCTTCCAGTACATTCATCTTGTGGTATATGCAACAGAATGTGTTAAACGGATCTGCGGAAAAAATACAAAGTTCATCGAATTTTATTTCTTCTATTGTTCCAACTTTCTTGCATTGTAATTATCAAGTAAATATCTTGTAGAAATCTAAAGGCTACACAATTTACACATGAGATTTACAGAAGGAATAGGAATTACTTTTAAAAAATAAATCGTTTTATACGATATAATAAATTGAAAGCATTCTAGAATAATATTCGTATTTTGAATGAAAATCACAAATTCATACATGGAAAATCTAATCATTCGATTAATAGCAAGGAAAGAAGAATATCATCTTGTAAAATAATTATAGAAATATCGTTGT